CTTCCTATGTCGTTCTTGACTGAAAGGTTTTTCTCCCGTTTTTGTCCTGACTAGAATTCAGCAGATCGCACAGGGTTTTCAACTCCAGACTGACGTATGAAGCCCGCGTGTTACCAGTTCTCTCCCAGCAAGTCTAAACAAGTAAGCATGTCTGATCTTTAAGCGGAGTGATTGACTGAACTAAAATGTACATATTTTGTTCAAGTTTCGACGGACATTTCACTATTATTGCTTTGGAGAATTTACTTCCCGTCTTTTGAGACAGACATTTGTACCTTCGCTTAGCCGAGGCGTGTGTTTTATGACGGTACCTTTGAATAACCAAACAGAAACCAGCTCCTAAAATTCGAGGGCTCGAACAGCTGTGTTCATGAAATATCCCGTCTTCTTTTCGATGAATACACTCATTTGCAAATCAATCTGGTTCTCACGGGAGACTCCACTGCATCTCTCGTTTTTGATATTCTACAACTGAATGTGCTGCACACAGGCCACCTCATGATTCAGTTGGCACGAGATTCGAGATATCGCAGTAGATTTTTCATAAAGGGAACTACTCACAAGGTTGCTGAAAACCGGTCGTGGGCTGTCGAACAGTTTTCAGCAACCTTGTGAGTAGATCCCGTCTTATTGTTCCAGAGAGGTAACCTTTCTTGCCATGCTATCCGCCAATGAGTTGCATAGTCTTCGAAACAGATTAATTCAGCTAACATGCTCATGCTGTGAGGACTTCGCCGACCGGCACTCACCAACTTAGTTTCATTACCTGTTCACGACTGTCATTTCAGCAATGGTTTGACACGTCTGGACTGTCGATGGGGGTATAGTCTAAACTTCAAACTCTTGGCGACACTAGATTCACTTCAGGCTGTTTGACAATAAAACCGAAGTCATTCCAACCACTCCTACTATTCCGAAAGCTTTTTCAGTTTTCCGTCCTCAGGAGACGTCAGCTAGCTCCACTGGAATCAGTGGTCACATTCATAGAATGCCTACGGACGCCATCGAATTTAAGAAAACCATCATGGGAAATACAATCATTTGCAAATCAATTTGGTCTTCACGAGAGACTCAACCGAAACCTTCCTTTATGATATTGTACAACTGAATGTGCTGCACGCAGGCCGCCTCATATTTCAGTTGGCAGGTAAAAACCAAATTGATTTGCCAATGAGTGTATTACTCGAAAACAGTGCAATTTGGGTTCAGGTAGAACATAAGGTTGACGGAAATTCGGGGACTGTGCCTACCTGATGAGCCCAAAGCAGAAGGGTGAAACCGGTCGTGGACTGTTGAAGAGTTTTCAGCAACCTTGTGAATAGTTTCCTTTGTGGAAACCACCACGGTTTATAAACCGGGTGAACGCGTGAATTTCCAATAACGGTTGCTATCCGCGTCTTCGATCCGCACCCAGAAACGATAAAGCTAACAAATCCAATGAATGGGTGGAAAGATGGGGTATTTCAGCCAGACTCTGTAGAGGATCACACCTGTCATGCTATCAAGAGTCATCTTCCGTCCTTCAGTGTGAAATTACTGAATGCTGACTTATAGTTCAGATCGGAAACGCTTGAGACACTCTGGTATCCTGATGATTCAAACGCATGTTGGCGTGTCGCACAACAACTGGGTGGGTTCAAAAAATGTCCACATTCTTACCCAAGTAAAACTTGTCACAGCATCTAACGATACTTTGTTATAATCTCATAATCGTGTCGAACATAACTGCTTTTAGATTTAGGTTTTTGCGTCAATGGATTCAACTGTCTTCCCGTATTTTTGTTCGAAGTTTGGTTGTCATCTACTGACTACAACTAGCCACATTCCGTTAGCAGTTTGTGCAGAAAAATATGAGCGAACTTATGACACCGTGACGGAACAAGTGGGCATCTCCAGTCAATTGAAAATTTAATCCAGATCCCTTTCAGTTCGGACAAGGCATGCATTAACTGCAAAAAATGCTTGAACAAATTAGCCACATGTAACAAACGAAACTGTTTCGCGAATTTCATACAAAATGGGTTCAATAAAAACATGTGGTTGAAGAAAACTAGGGGAGTGTACCCACCTGATATATATATATATATATATATATATATATATATATATATATATATATATA